TGCTGCTGATTTGTTTCATGTTGCTGCTGATCTGTTTCATGTTGCTGTGTTCATTCGTGCTCATCTGCTCACACAGACTCATGTTTGTGCTGTTGTTCAGCATATTGTTTTTATTGTTTGTACGCTATCAGTGCTTAATATATATTTAGTTGATGTTTTTTCTTAGTTCATACCTTAGATATCATTACTGTTTTTCTTTTACATTTATTGTTGGATGTAACTGGGACTCTGTGTACATAATCTCGTTCCACCACATGTACCACATGTGCTGCGAACGACAATAAAGAAACTCTGACTCTGATCAATACAAAACTCACACTTTGTATTTCAAGTTCTATACACTCAAGGTTTAGATTTAGCCTAAAGAACTAGTATAATGTTGTCTGCTAGGCTTTTCCATTTCTCCAAACCACCAGTGATCTTCATGCAGACAAGATGATAAAGACATGAACTTTTGGAGTCCTGCTGATAAGAGTGTTTGTGTGGTTCTTTTACCTGTTGGCACACCATGGCTCTAACAATGACCAGTGTTTTTAGAATCGCAGCTGCTGAGACAAGCTGTCATGACCTGCTGACTCGGAGAAGAGAGAGAAAAACAATAACACTGCAGAAAGAGTGAAGGGGCAGCATGAGAGCAAGGGTTTGCTCAGTGTGACTGGGGCAGATAAAGGTTTGATAATTACTGGATTTTGTTAAATTAAAATAATAAACATTCAGAGAGATCATATCTCTCCAGTTTTAACTTCTCTCCACTGGCTCCCTATCAAATTCAGAGTTTAATTCAAAATCTTACTTCTAACGTACAAAGCCTTCAACAACCTAGCTCCATCTTATATTACCGATCTTATTGTTCCATATTTTCCTAACAGAGCACTTCGCTCTCAGACCGCAGGTTTACTTGTGGTTCCTAGAGTTTCCAAAAGAAAAATGGGAGGAAGATCTTTCAGTTATCAGGCTCCTCTCTTGTGGAACCAACTTCCAGTTTCTGTCCATGAGGCTGACACATTGTCCAGTTTTAAGACTGGACTTAAGACTTTCCTTTTTGATAAATCCTATAGTTAGGGTTGGCTTATTATGCTGCAATAGGCTTAGACTACTAGAGGACAAATTGATGATTTGCTAAAATTGAATAGTTTTTTGGGCAGCACAGTGGCGCAACTGGTAGAGCTGCTGCCTCTCAGCGAGAAAGTTGCTGGTTCAAATCCCTGTCCGGGGGCCTTTCTGGGTGGAGTTTGTATGTTCTCTCCGTGCATGTGTGGGTTTTTCTTCGGGTACTCCGGTTTCCTCCCACAGACCAAAAACATGCATGTTAGGCTGATTTGTAATTCTAAATTGTCAGTAGGTGTGAGTGAGAGAGTTAATGGTTGTTTGTCTCATTTGTCTCTGTGTCCCTGTGATGGACTGAGACCTGTCCAGGGTGTCCCCCGCCCCTCGCACAATGATTTCTGGACATGGGCACCGGCAACCCCCATGACCCAAAATGGAAGAAGTGGGTAAAAGATAATGGATGGATAGATGTATATATATGAATGTTTCTGTTCAGTGCCCTGAAATGACTTCTGTTGTGACTTAGCACTATATAAGTAAACTGAATTGAATTGAATTGATATTTGGCATACTTTACCAAGCTTCAGTGTGTGAAGTAGAATTACCAGAACAACTTACATGCAGTGGAACAAAGCTGCTTGTTGAAGTTGTACAACATTGAACTGTGTGAAATACTTGAACATTTGAACAAAAGATACTTGATTCTTTAGTCTTTGTTTCATAACTAGTACTGTTAAAACTTACAGCTTTTTTACCATTTCACTTGGGATTTTGCTGTCTTTTTACATCAGGGCATTATATTTCTCTGAACTGTAGTCTTTATTGTTTCATATTTCATGTAGATGTTCTGACTCATGGATGAGTCAACGTTCACAAAGAAATGGACTTTTCTTATTCCTTGTTAGAGCATCTTTCAAACAGAGAGGTTTGTGGTGGACCTTTCTGTCTGACCATAGCGAGTGTGTGATGGGTGCACGCTGTATGATTGAAGTGCGTTCAGTGACTCAGCTGACATTGTCTGCTAAAAGAGGCTTTAAATCCAACATGAGACATGCTCTCTGTTAATAGGCTTTTTATATCCGCCGTAAATGATAAAATGTGAAGTTTATGGTCTCTTTCACACCCATATACAGACACTTAACACATAACACCAGCTTTTGTTTTTCCTCATATCTGATGTTGAATTGAACAAAATTCACCCATGACACATTCCTGGCAGTAAATATAACTCTTTCAAATGTTGAGATGTTTATTAATTAATACACTTAATTAATTAGCATTTTAGGCATACAACTGAGAAGCCTATCACATCTGCATCATCTTGAGCATATTGTAAGTCTTTTTTATTACATAATAATAACTATTTACAATTGCCGGTAGTAATTCAGACTCCTTCAGGGTGGGAGTTGGACTCATCCAGGGCTGCCTGTTGTCACCAATTCAGTTCATAACTTTTATGGAAAGAATTTCTCGGTGCAGCCAGGGAGGTGGAGGGATTCGTGTTCAGCGGCCTTAGGATTCCATCTCTGCTCTTTGCAGATGGTGTGGTCCTGTTGGCGTCATCGTGCCAAAATCTTCAGCTTAATGGAGCGGTTCGCAGATTAGTGTGATGCGGCTGGGATGAGAATCAGCACCTCCAAATGGGAGGCATGGTCCTCAGTCGGAAAAAGATGGATTGCTCTCTTCTGGTATAGGGTGAGGTTCTGCCTCAAGTGGAAGAGCTCAAATATCTCAGGGTTTTGTTCATGAGTGAGGGAAGAATGGAGCGTGAGATTGACAGATGGATTGGTGCAGCATCTGGAGTATTGTGGACTCTGTGCTGGTCCATTGTGGTGAAGAGGAAGCTGAGCTGTAAGGCAAAGCTCTCTATTTACCGGTCAGTCAACGTTCCTACCCTCACCTATGGCCATGAACTCTGACTAGTGACTAAATGAATGAGAATGAGATGACAGGTGGTTGAAATTAGTTTCCTCTGCAGGGTAGCTGGACTCTGCCTTAGAGACAGGGTGAGAAGTTCAGTTTTCCAGGAGAGACTGGGAGTAGAACCGCTGCTCCTCCACATCGAGAGGAGCCAGTTGAGGTGGTTCGGGCATCTGGTAAGGATGCTCCCTGGGCGCCTCCCTAGGGAGGTGCTTCGGGCATGTCCAACTGGCAGGAGACCTTGGAGAAGACCCAGGACACATTGGAGAGACATATGTCTTTCGTTTGGCCTGGGAACGCCTTGGGTCCCCCTAGAAGAGCTGGAAGAGGTGACTGTGGGCGAGATGTCTGGACCTCCCTGCTCAAGCTCCTGCCCCCACGACCTGACTTAAGAATAAGCTAAAGATAATGAGTGGATGGATGGATAATAAATTTAAAGTATTAGCTGTCTAAAATGTATTATTTGGCTGTGTAGTTTTTCATTTTATGCATAAACCCAAATTTTCAGGTTTATCTTTCACTGACTGACTGACTGACTGTCTGACTGACTGACTGACTGACTGACTGACTGACTGACTGAATGAATGAATGAATGAATGAATGAATGAATGAATGAATGAATGAATGAATGAATGAATGAATGAATTTGTGTGCGGGTAGGTTTATTGAACATTTCAAAACTTAAAGGCTTGGTTTGCAGCTTTCATAGAATCCTCATCTGTTGTCAGTTTTATTGAAGGTTCTTTTATTAATATCTAACAAAATAATTCTGTTCTGACCCACCTGAAGGACCTAAAAGCTATTGAAATCACAGTTACAAAGAATATTTTTTTGTCATTACTAAACATCCATACATCCATTTTCTTTACCTGATTTTTTGAACAGGGTCCTGGTGAGCTGGTTTCTGTCTCCAGCAGTCATTAGGCAAGAGGCTGGGTAGACCCAGACCATCATAGATTTTATTGAACATCACATAAATATTAGTTGGTGCAAGAATATTTGTTGAATATGTAGAACCAGCAGAAAGAAAACTAAAAAGTTTTACTTTTCATCTAGTGTTATTTAACTGTCTCCTCCCAGATGCTGTTATAATGTGTTCTGTAGTGGTCATTCTGAATGTGCAACATAGGAATTGTCCAAATTTTAAATGTACCATGTGTGCTGATTGTGGTCCAACAGGATGTAATAAAGACATTAAAATGTTGGGGAGAATGCTTTGATTTCTCAAGAGGAAACTGTGCACTGCAATGCTAAAGTCTTGTATTAAAAATGATAAATCGAGGCCAGCATCATGTATTTAGTTGGAGAGCTTGAAATCAGATGTCAGGATTCGTTTTTCAGGGAATTGCAATTTTCCAACACGGTGGAGCTCCACTCCGGTGGCCCATTTTATCTTCCAACCACACATCCCACAAACAACCCTCAGCTGATTATGGCTCAGACCTGTATACGCCTCTCTACAATGACAAAACGAGCCTCCTGCAAGTTTAAACAGTAAAGCTCAATAAAAGTGATACTGTAACTGTCATCTGAATTTCTGCTTTAAGCCAGGAAAGATATTGATTTCATATTAGATATTAAAATTGTCAGCACATCCTGGCTCATAAATAATGTCTTCTCTTTAAGGTCACAGAAGAGGAGAAGAAGCAAAAGGAGACGGAGGCGTTTCAAGCGCCGCCTCCTGTCATCATGTTCTCAGGATCCCGCTTCAACAGCACCAAGGGTCATCGAAGGCAGAAGAGGGACTGGGTGATCCCACCGATCAATGTGGCGGAAAATTCCCGAGGCCCGTTCCCTCAGATGCTTGTCAGCGTAAGTGTCAGAGTTGATTGGCTGCTTTGCTGATTTACTTTGCAGTTTACAGCTGGGAATTGTTGAAGGCTCTTCACAGCTAACACTGATTGGAGACGTGTGTGTAATGAAGGATCATAAAAGACAGGAATGCATTAGCATAACTGGTTTGTTCTTGAAGATGATTCTGCTTTGTTTCCCTGATGTAATTACAACCACAGTGTCTAAAGGTAGTTAAACAGCTCTGATGGACCTAGAGGAGCTTCTGACACACAGCTGCTATAATCTTTCACAGCAATGTCCACTGGGTTCATATTTAAATGTATTATTTTTCATTCCCCTCCTGGATAATGCTGTATGTCCTTTTTTGACCATTTATAAGAAAGGCTATTTGAGGTTCAGAGCATTTTTATAGAGTCATCAAGGTCCATGTTCATTCATCCAGCTAAATATTCAGTCAGGTCATCTGGACAGTTTCTTTTTTTTGTTGAGAGACATTTTGCCCTCCATCCGAAGGGCTTCATCAGAACCACTTTGGCTGTGGCACCTTGAGAGGAGTCGATGGGGAAGAAGACAACCCCCAGAAACCAACTTATCACCAGCAAACTGGTTGGTCCACTGTAGAAGTGTAACTCTTAGTGGGGAAAACAGTTTGTTTGTGACTCCTCAGACTGATGAAGCCCTTCGGATGGAGGGTGAAACGTCTCTCGGCAAAAATAGAAACTGTCCAGATGGCCTGACTGAACATTGTTGGATTTTTATACAGGATTTATGAGCTCAGTTTGTCACAAAGTCTCAAGTAAAGAGAAAAATGCTGCTTCTCTTCAGTGTCTCATTCTCTTCACTCTGTAACACATTAGTGTAAATATGAGGTAACAAAATGAAAGCGATGTGGAAAAAGCCCAAACACACATGGAAACAACTGACAGTTTTATTTCCGAGAAATAGTTTTGACAACGTTACAATCAAACCAAAGCATGTGGAATGTTGGAGGTCTAGTGTGTACACTTGTTGAAGGAGAAAAATCATGAATACGTACGTTTGTGCAAATGTTTTGTTGTGCAAAGATTGCTAAATTGCAGTGGGTTTAAAAGTCGTAGACATTCTGTAACAGCAGAATGACTGGTTTGTCTTTCATTGCAAATAAATACACATAAAGCTTGTGGTGCACGCTGAAAATAATATCTAAAAGTCTTCCAAGAGACTGTTGCCTCATTCTCTGCTCTGTCTTTCTGCATTTCTTTATCTGGAGCATCTAGCTATCAGCTTTTCCTTGCTGTTTACAAAACTCCTACAGTTTATCTCTTCTGGGTTTTAAATTGTGCAAAAGATGCTTTTTTTAGCTTTGTTTTTCATCCAGGTTTTATCCTGTCTCCAGAGAAAAGCCTGGGGAGCTGCTTAAAGAAAACTTCATCTTTTACTTTCCTCACATTGTGGTTCAAACACATCAAGTCAAAAAGAAGAGAGCTTGTAAGTTTTAGTTTTTGAATTGGAGTGCTCCTACAGCTGGAGCATGTCCTATCACCCTGGAACTACGGCATTCTCATCTGAGCTTTCTGAGCTCCAGTTCTGCTATACCAGCAAAATAAATAAAAATATCTAGCAAATAAAACAAGGGCGGTTCTGCTGCTTCCTGGAAGTGGTCAGAAGCAGAGACAGACAGAGCTGATAGTGCAGAAAGGAAGACAGAGGGTATCAAAGGAACATTTGGAAGTATGGTGCACAGCCAAACACAACCCATTTTGTGCTGTAAATAGGTCCGTCAGGGACTGGTGGATTGCTGAGAGTTGAGCAGAAGAGAAGTGATGCGTGCTGATGCCTTTGTTTGGCTCCGAGGCTCTCGTCTTTCCCTTTAATGATGACTGGAGGGCAGGCGTGGGGATACTGAGAGTTAGAGATTTCAACAAATAGACAGGGGTTTATAAAATGGGGAGGGGTTTGCCAAACTTTTCGTTTATGCATGTATTCAGTTTTAATAACTTCAATTGTCCTCTTAGGCCTGCGTATATGTTTTTGTTTCCCTCTTCCTCAGTCAGAAATAATTTCAAACTGCAGATGCTAGCAGCAGCAATCAGGGTTCAAGCAGGTTGTGAGCATTAAAAATATTAATATTTGTTGGCAGTAATGAACACTTGAAAACGAAACACAGTTTGAAAAATCTACTGTTTTATACATGTCAAAACAAAACCCTAGAAATATGTAAGAAGTAACCAAAAAAACTGTCTCCAGCTTGTGGACCATAGATGGCAATTAAATTAAAACATGGTAAAAGCTCAGATGTGTGACGAAGGATTGTGACCCCCAGGTTGTGTCAGACTGATCTTAAAGAATCCTTCAATGTTAGAGAGGACACAGTTAATAACATAAGAGAGTAAATACACCGAAATTAAAACAAAGAATGAAACTGTGATGCAAAGACGAAGCAAAATTTAGTAAGTAAAAAAACGGTTGCACTTGAATTGTTTGGGGCACTTATTAATAATAGGTAGGCTATAAGGAAGGAAGTAATTCAATTCAATTTAACTCAGTTTGTTTATATAGCACCAAGTCACAACAGAAGTCGTCTCAGGGCACTAAACAGAAACATTCATATACATTAAAAAAGCCAATTAGTAAAAATGATCTAAGGAATCCAGCAGATGTGTTGAATCTTCATTTCATCACAGTCTCCCACGTAATAATTCCTGCACAAGCACCAAGACAAATTAGAGCAGATATTTCCAGGAAAACACACAACTCCTACTTATTTACACTCATTTAGCTCCTCTGCTTGTTTTACTTACAAGTAGGGTAAATATTTCATTTTTGAAGGAGCCGTAAATTGACCAATCTTTGAAAATTACATTTTGTATGATCTTGTGTAATATTGTGGGACGTCATGCTCAGAGTGTGTGATGTGGATGACTCACAGCTACTACCAAATATGAATTTAACTTAGTGAATTATACTTAGTATAAGTAAAACTGACTGAGTTTATATCCTTTTTGTCATTGTTGGATAATTTTGATTAGCTGTGTTCCATCTTACATTGTCTTAACTTCACAAGAAAATAAATTACAGTTGTACATCCATTAATTACTTTCAGAGAGTGTATTAAAATCCATTCACTGCTTTATGAAATATTTTGCTAACAGACAAACGGGGTTGACTCCCACAATTAATGTTAAAGGTTTAAGCAAAGATCTTGCACAATAGTTAGCATTCCAGGAATGTGTTGTGAATAACTCTCAGCTAAAACCACATCACATGTAAGCAGCGTGTCGGGACTCCTGACTGAATTAAAGCTAATTATGAGTTCTGAGTTCAGAAATATATATATATATATATATACTGAGAGTTATTCACAACACATTCCTGGAATGCTAACTATTG